AAAAATTGCATGAAAAGTGTGGTTAGTAACATGGAACTCACAAGAATATTGTTGCCCCTCCTAAATGGATCTCTGAAGATAGCTTGAGGACTGTATAATTGATTTAACATATTATAAAAAAAATTCTTTAAAAAAAACCCACTATTTCAAATTTGAGAACATGGTAATCAGGATATAAAAGGCCTACTATAAGATCACTTCACTGTCTTCCCCAGGAGCTTGACCAGTGCTTGAACCATCATAATTCCACTTGGGAAGCTTTGAGGGATCATTAACAGGTCCAGAAAGAGTCTATATGTGATAAAAAAAAAAATTAAATGAAAATTAGAATGAGAACTACAAATCTTCCTCAGCTAAAGAACAAGATGAAAGATATTTTCTCAAGAGGGTCAAAATTGATTACTCTTGCTTTGCTTCTAATGTCTATGCCAGATCCACCGACCCTGAAAACAAGTAATTGTCCATCATTCAAAAACTGGTATATTGAAGCTTTACTTAAAAGGGTATGATTAAATTGAATCAATAAGAACATTTAAGGAAAAATACACTAAAAATTTAGTGACTTCAGACCATAATTTCCCTCAACTTCCTCACCAAACAAACAGAGAATATGTAAAGAGACAGCAATTATGGGGATCACAAGAAAGAAATGTCATTAATATATGCAGTTAGGTAGTTACACATAGAATATGTTAGTTTCACATAGAATATGCTGATGAAAAGGGGAGACGAACGAACCATATGTACTCAGCAATGATCTTGTCAGTGCAGTCTGAGAGGTTTAGGTTTAGAAGATCTGAAAGCAGCGCCATGATGTCTCTAAGGAAAACAGGGGAGAAGGGTGCAATGAAGGTAAGTGGATAGGGGAGGTCTGTGTTGCCTTTTATAGTCAAGGTTCCTTTCTTTGCAGCAACGAAGAATTCAAAACGTTTATAATTTGGATAAAAAAAAGAATAGAAAGTTCCTTCTATAAAAAAAAATAAATAAAAAGAGAAAAATAAAAAGGAAAAAAATAGGAATAACTGGAATATTAATCTTATACTTTGAGAGAAAGTGTAATGTAATCCCCCTACTTTGATTTTGTAGTTCTATGATAAAGTTTATATGAAAAGTTAAAAGGTATTATATAGAAATTTAATAAATTTTGTAATATAAAATTTTATTGCATTATTAACTTTTCTTTATTTAGTAATAAATTATTATAAAAAAAAGTTTAAGAAAAATTTTTCGTACAAGGAAAAAAAATATTTATTAAAAATTGTGTTAAAAAATGAATATTAAAAATGTCATTTTTATTCTTATTTTAATTTTATTTTATTAAAATGTAAAAATATATAAACAGAGTTTGGAGAAAACAAGCAGCAGGCCCTTAAGTCTTCAAATAAAACAGCCACCAGTAGAACCTATTATCCATCTCCAATTCCCTACTAAAGTGGTAAGAAAGTGGTGACTTGTTCGTGCGAAAAACAAATGGTACCTCCTAATACTATATACGTTATATATATGGGGAATTAGTTATTTAGTGACACAAAATTTTAAAATTTTAACTTTAATTTTAAATTAAAAATTTTAAATTAAAGGATTTTAATTCCATCAAGATATTATTAGTACTTGTAAGGATAATTCTGCTGTCGTTAATTTCAGACGCATTATAACAATTTTTTAATAGTCGAAATTAAGTTAAATCCAGCATTTCTGGTTAAACGGTTGCACGGTAAATACAGTGGGCATGCCCCACACCTGATTTATCACATAATTTCTCGATTCTGAATTTATCTCTTTAAGGAACATGTCACACTCTGATCATCTTGCTAAGCAAGTTACGTGAATACCTCACGAAGGCCTATAAATATCCCCAGGGGTCAGGTAAAAAAAGTAATTGAAACCTTCTTAAAGCTTGTTTTTCACTAATCTAGAGATAGATCTGATTATTACTGACTTAAGTATCGAAGTGTCTATCTTGAAGACTCATCTTGGTACTTTGTAGATTCATCCAAAATGAAAACACAAATTAAAGAAGGATCTCTGATTTTGTGCAATAACAGTACTCAATAATACTATTAATAACTACAAAAGTTCCTCTCAAAAATTCATCCCTCATACTTTTTTTTAATATTATTAAGGATGTGATTATAATTATTTATTAATTTGTTAAGGTTATATAATATTATTAAAAATATTCATTTTGCTTGATTTAATTATTAAAAACAAATAATAATAAATAAAAAAAATTAACATTTACTTTTAATAAATTAATATTATTTTATAAACTGATATTTTTAAATATTATAGTTAATTATTTAAAGAAATTACAAATATCAACAAACTGTTAAGTCCCGTAACCACACTCTCTTATTAGTACTTAACAATTTGTGTGTACTGAACTACTGATTTATAAGACAAAATTATCTGATAAATAATCATAATTATCAATATAATATGAGTCTTACATAATAATTAATTAATTGTCGCAATTTTTTAATTAATCCCCTACCTTTTTCTTCATATATTTCGTCTCATTTATTATTTTCCATTTCGGTTTCGCCAGCTATGTAACTTCTATTAATATAGGCATTAATTCCATTAGTTGTTTTTAAGTGAAGGAGTTATCTTTGGTCAAACAAAAACTAACAATAATTTTATCTAAGAATCCACCGGAAAGGTTTGAAAAGATGCATAATTAACAATGAACACTTGTTTTATTTTTTAATTGCTTTTCATTTCCTTTAATGATGTTTAGTGCAAGTTGATTCTCATTGACATCACATTTTTTGTTATTTTGAATATAGAAGGGTCACAAATAGGATCCTTAATTAGTGAATGTGGCGAAAGGGCAAGTCCACCACATTATCATATTATTAGTGGATCAATCAAACCCACTTTAATTAACACAATTTTAATCAAAGGTCAATGAAGTTACATTGCTTAATCCTAGCGTCACACCTCACGCATTGTCTTCATTATTCAAACTTAATACTTAATTCATTCGCATTTAAATCTATACTTATTTCTATGTTCCAAGACGTGGTTTATTTTTTAAATAATATAATTATATTATTATACAATATTATAAATTTATAATAATAATAATATTTTATTAAATTAGTGTAATTATATAATATTATGATTGAGCTTTTTTTTTTAACAATAAAGATTAGAAAAAAAAATGTTTTAATTATATTTAATAGGATTTAAACTTTAGCATGAATCAAGACTTTTGCTCCACATTAACAGGCCGGCTGAGCGGCGGGGGCTGCCAGTGCATGATCAATGAATTTGCAGTGCCCAATCCTAGCGTCACAAACTTAATAGTTAATTTCTTGCTAACGAATTAAATAATTTAATGGTTATCTTTTTTGGTTGGAAGTAAGAGATTCTGAATTTGAATTACATGACATGCGGATAAAATGAAATAAAAGATGAGAGATAGTTGTTTTTCGTTGTACAACTAAAATAAAAAAACAAAAAAAATTAGTTCCTCCATATTTAAATCCATACTTACTTTTTTGTTTCAAGATACCTATTACTGTTTATTTTTTTAATAATATAGTTATAATATTACATAATATTATAAATTTATAATCATAATATTTTATTAAATGAATGTAATTATATAATATTATGAGTGAATTTTTAAATAAAAAATTAATTATATAATTACATATTAATGTTATGTTATAAGTTTATAGTATTATGTGACATTATAATTATATTATTTTTTATTTATATTAGTCAATGGTGAGATCTTAACCTGCTAATCTGTTTTAACGTAAAAAGGGTTTGCCTTGCTGTTTAGAGGTTTACTTTTCTGTCTTGTGTTATTGAGTGAGATTGAAGTTCAATAAGTTGTGTGGGGATCTAGCTAGGAGCAGAGAAGTAGGAACTAGGAAGAGCCAAATTAAACTAATAAGATGCTCAACCTGGCTTATACGTTGGTTTGATTTGATACATATTTAACAAATTATTCTCTACCATTAATTTTACAAAGAAGCCAAATGCATACAAATTAAGCGATCACATCACTATACTAAAAGACTAAAAGTCTTCCTCAACCATCTATTGCATGAATTGCGCCCCTTACCATTCATTTAGTTTGTCAGAATGCACATCAAAATTTTTTTCAAGATTGAACCTAAATTTTATTGTCCTTGACAAAAAAAAAAAAAATGTCAAGAAGGCCTTTTGTTTCTTTCCATTTTGCCATCTTCAATTGAAGCCATAGACATCTCACGTGAAGACTTTAACATTGGATATAGACATCAATTAAGGTTAGAGCAAATTTGCTAGGTGATCATCCACATAAGTACTTAATAATAAGGTTTTTTTTTTTTTTGGCCATAGCACATAGCAATAAGTTAACAAACAAAAAATGGAAAAATGTTTGAAAGATGCTTTTAGCTTTCAACCAAACCAATGACATTAATTGATATATCTTCTGTTTAATATATAGTGTAACATATTTATTAAAAAATTATTATTTTGTTACTATAAAATCAAAAACAAACAATTTTAAAGATATAATTATACATATAAAATATAAAAATTAACTAAATCAATTATATTTATTTTATATTTTAATAACTAAACTAAATATGTGTAAAAAAATATATTGAACTAAAAAATGTATCAATAATTTTCCTTCAAGCAAAAGGTAAAGGATTGGTTTTCTCGGTTTTCAGTTTTAGGAGGAAGGATATTATGTATGGTTTTTATTTTCAGGGGCTGCCAATGACAGGTAGATACGGGAATCTCTGTTGCAGACTTGTAGGCGGCCCACTTGCCATTCAGCCCTTTATGCTTATATTATCAATCTTCGATTGGTGGATGGCTGCTACCAGAAACCAAGTCATTCCTCCCTGGATTCCAAAGGAACTTATTCCTCTGCCAAAAATGATGGGCATCTTAATCCAAAATCAATCTTGCCGCACTAGCAGCCCGTAGTGGGCTCATGTATTAAATATTTTAACCCATGTTAAGGTTTAAATTTTTAAGTAGTTGAACAGCTCACTTTGATTTAGTGGCATAAAACTCAGATTAAAACAATTTATTTTTTATGGGTGACATGTTTGAATTTAACGAAAATTTTTTTAATTAATATATATAACTAATTTTAATCTGTTCAAAAAAAAAAAATTCTTAAATAGTTGTGCACCTAACCTTCTCAGCTTGGTGGCTTTATCACCTTTGATAGGTGCACTCTTTAGCCTTTTAGTCTGGACTTGATTCATTCCACCCCTAATTTATAATTTATTCAAAAAAAATCATAAACAGTGGTAATATATATTTTTTTCAAAACATTTCTTTCTACAAAAAAAAAAAAAAAAAAAAAAAACCAATCTTGCCAAAAAAAAAATCCTCCTTGTTATCTTTTTTCCTCATATGGCTTAATTGGCTTTCAATCTTCATACGGAACTAGGTTCTAAAGAAATAATATGTGAAGATCATACGTGCAAAAAAGTATATATATATTAGATTAAATTAAACTCTTAATTTTATACGTTCCATATAGATGTTCCTTAAATTTGAAAAAAAAAAAAATCCATACAGGAAATGTTTGTATAGTTAGAACTTAAAACTTTTAAATTAAAAATACAAGTTTAAATCTTAGAACAAGCCATTCCAAATTTTGAAGAAAATGACTAGTATTTCTTATTATTAGATTGCTAAAAGGTACTAAAAAACAGTATAGGCAATAAAAGGGATAAAAGCAGGTAACAGGTAATAAATTTAAATTGTATAATATAATATACTGGTTAAAAGTGAATAAAGGATAAAAAAATAATAATAATAAATTAATAAAGGAGTGTTTTAATATTTATATGTTATTGGTAAATAATTAATATTTAATAACTAATAATTAATATTATTTATAATCTTTGTAATTAAAAATAATAATTAATAGCTGATTATGAAACTTTAAAACAAACATCCTTTAAAAAGATTGGCAGTTTGGCGTTGGCATGGACCATGGTGCAACTTATAAAAAATAAAAATAAAAAAAAATGAAAAAAAAGGAGTACGGGCTAGGAAAATGGAAATGAATCTGGGCCCTCTTACCCTGAACAGATTAGGCCTGACATTAACCCGGGCCTAGAAAGATCGGCCCAACAGAAAATCACAAACTCCCGCTCGAATTCAAAACCAAAAATTCAGAAAAACGCTCAAAGCGCACTACATTAAACAAAGCCAAAAAGGAGAGGACAGAAGCAGACAGAGAACAGGAAATGGCGGACACAGAGCTGATCCGAAACATCGCCAGAATTCTGGACGAGGCGAAAACCTCGAACGCCGCGCAGCACCGGAAGATCAAGGAGCTCAAGCTTCTCCGATCAAAAGCCCCCTCCATCCCTCAATTCTCAGCCGCATTCACCAAAACCCTACTCCCCCTCTTCCACATCCAGAGGCGATCGGCCTCCACTGAGCGCGTTGTCCGCTTCGTTTCTTCCTTTGCCACCGCTCGTGATTCCGACTCTGCTGCCATTTCCGATGAGCTTTTGGAGAATTTCTTGAAGTTCCTTCTGATCGGCGCTGCCGCTGCCAATAAAACCGCCAGATCTAGGGCTTGCCAATTCATTTCCGAGGTAAGGATTTTGCAATTTGGTTTTTAATCTTTGATTTGACGTTTTGTTGATGGAAACACTGCTTTTGTAGATCATACTGAACCTGCCTGATGACTCAGAAGTGAGCAATGAAGTCTGGGACGAGGTGATAGATTCCATGAAGCTCCGGGTGGTGGATAAGGTCCCACTGATCCGGACATTTGCAGTGAGGGCTCTTTCACGATTTATAAATGACGCAGAGAACAGTGACATTCTCGATCTCTTGCTTGAGGTGCTTCCTCCAGAACAAAATTCGGTGAGTCAGTATGAACTTACTTGCCAGAACGCTGTCTTTCTTATTTGTGTCCATATATGAGGTAACACAATTTCAACATGTTTCAATAGAGTACCTTAATCTTTGTGGAACTAAGCAAATTATGTTCGTCTGTTTGACACAGAAAATGTCTTGGTTTTCTAAGAATTTCAGGAAGCTATTATTTGATTATACAAATGTGGCATGCTTTTACAGGAGGTTCGTAAGACAATTATTCTATCTTTGCCTCCTTTAAATGCGACTTCCCAAGTAATCATTGATTGTACGATGGATGTTAATGAATCAGTCCGAAAAGTGGCATACTTTGTCATAGCTAATAAATTTCCTCTTCAAAGCCTCAGGTAATTTTGCATCTCAATCCCAGAAATATTTTGTATTCCTCCTCTTTCTTTTGATCTTTTGACACAACCTTTTTTGTTTTCGTTTAATTTGTTTGGTCGTGCAGCATCAAACTTAGGACTTTGATTCTTCAGAGAGGACTTGCTGATCGATCTCCAGCTGTTTCAAAGGAGTGTTTGAAGTTAATGATAGATCAGTGGCTCGCTAAGTGCTGCAATGGTGACCCAATAGAACTACTCAAGTATCTTGATGTTGAAACCTATGAATCAGTTGGGGAGTCTGTAATGGAAGCTCTCTTAAAAGCTGGTCTAGTGAAATTACATGAGGGTGAAAGCCTCCAGAAGTATGTCTTATCAGCTCATGACAGAACTGAAGGTTGGTGGAACTTTTTGATATGCTAGGTTAATAATCGTTCTTTACTAGCTACCAGATCAGCATTGGATTCACTTTCTTGGTTTTTGTCTTTACCTCACCCCAAATCGTTCCTATTTACTTGTGAATTGTAGAATGATCAGAAAGTTTTTCTATTTCAAACTAAATTGAATTTTAGTTGTAGCTTTTTAAAGATTTCCTCAGTTTTACCAATTCCAGTTACAATCAAGTTATGAAGCAAAAAAGGCTACTCTAACAGGTTATTATCAAGAAGTTGCAAGCAGAAGAATTGGGTGATAGATCTTTTAAGTGCTTAAATGTGTTCCTTTTGGTGTTATAATCAAGAGTTGCATCCTGAGATTTATTCCTTTAGACTCTTCAGTTTAAAATATGGGGAACATTTTCATCTGAATTATGTTGGCTTGATATTTCCAGTATCTTGATGTAATATTGATTCAGGAGAACCAGAGAATTGTACTCCAAGCATTAAGCTAATTGAACCTGAGGTTGCTCTTTATTGGAGGACAGTTTGCAAGCATTTGCAGATGGAAGCACAAGTAAGCTTGTTAGTCTATTCCTTTTTCTTTCTGTTTTATTTTTTTATTTTTTTATTTTTTTTTCTTGTTGATTTATGTATTATTCCTCTTCTTTTGATTTCTCTGTCCATTAATTTATCTTTAGGTAGATCTGCCTACTCAAATGTGAAAGAAAAATAAAAAGTTGTGAGAATTCTCTTTTTAGAGGACAAATACATCATCTTCCGTTGCATTTATTGGTTTTTGATATTTATTGCCTGAATTCAAAATAACAAATGATGGAAGTGAATATTCTACAAAACTTTCTTCCAAATTATGTGGACGCACCATTGTTTTCAACTTAAATCAACATGAGATGCTTTATAGACGTTTCTTATAGAACAAATGATGACATGAAGAATTAAAGGGTATTGTAGAATGCCAGAATTCAAATTTATTGCATAACTCAGAATTTGCTTGGTTAGGAAAAAACATATCATGAAGTGATGCATGCTTTAAGAGCGTAATGAACTAAGGGAGTAACATTCTGCTATTGAAAGACAATGATTATAGGATTATCAAGTAACCTTCAAACTAACACATGATTGATCAGGCAAAAGGGTCAGATGCTGCTGCTGCAAAGGGTGTTGAAGCTGCAGTATATGCTGCTGATGCGTCAGATAGCAATGATCTTTTAGATAGAATTCTTCCTGCAACAGTCTCTGATTATATAGATTTGGTCAAGGCTCACATAAATGCTGGTGGGTAAACTGCTTTTGATCAACAAAAAAGTAAACTATACATCCAAATGTATATTATCCTAATTTGAGCAGATACTTTCAGGTCCAAATTATCATTTTGCAGCAAGGCAGCTACTATTGCTTGGAGAAATGCTTGATTTTTCTGATGCAACTATCAGGAAGGTTGCCAGCTCTTTTGTACAGGACCTGCTGTGCAGGCCCATTGAACATGAAGTGGATGATGAAGGCAACAAAATTATAATAGGAGATGGCATAAATCTTGGTGGTGACAGAGATTGGGCTGATGCAGTTGCTAGGTTGGCAAGGAAAGTCCATGCTGCCACTGGTGAATTTGAAGTAATTCTTCTTGGGGTAGTAGAGGAGCTTGCTCAGCCTTGCAGGGAGAGGACTGCTGACTTTTTGCAGTGGATGCATAGCCTTGCTGTGACTGGTCTTCTTTTGGAAAATGCAAAATCTTTCTACTCGGTTCAAGGAAGGGCTATTGAACCTGTTGAACTTCTGCAGTCTCTGTTGCTTCCTGCGGTATGAATTTGGTTGCATAATGTTATTTGGTGTTTTTCAATCTATTTGCCATAATGAAATCCTCAAGGCCTAGATTAAATTGCAAAGATTTTTGGGTTTTGGTGCTTGGCTGTTGAATCTTATAACCTACTAATTCTTCATATTGAGTGTAAAAGTATGGTTTTCTCCGACCACTTTGTCGGGTAAAAGGACATGTATATGCAACCTAATTCTGTTCATATGCATGGGGACAACTATTAGTGAAAGTTGTTTTTAGTTAAGGAAATTCAATAATTATTGAAATCACAGGAAATGATAACCAGCTTCTTCTGGAGGGTGTTAATTTTGCATATCTTCTGCAGGCAAAACATGTTCATCTGGATGTGCAGAGGATAGCTGTCAGGTGCCTTGGGCTATTTGGGTTACTAGAGAATAAGCCAAGTGAAGAACTAGTGAAACAGTTGAGGCTCTCTTTTGTTAAGGGTCCTCCTCCAATAAGAGTTGTTGCTTGTAAGGCATTAATTGATCTCGGAATGTGGCATGGTCCTCAGGAAGTTGACAGGGCAATGGGGCTGAATCTTTCATCACTGCTCCGAGAAGATAAACTACATTTTAGTCCAGTAAACTTCCTTGATAATGCTGAAGATTTCAACGTTGAGTTGCTTGATCTCTTATATTCTGGACTTGAGACAAATAATTGCAGTAACTCTCTAGAAAATAGTGACAGTGAATCAGTTCAAGCTGCTCTTGGAGAGGGATTCGCCAAGATTCTTCTTCTGAGTGATAAGTATCCAAGAATACCTTCCTCCTTTTTCCCTTTGCTCTTAGCCAAGCTGATAAGCCTGTATTTCAGCAACGAGACAAAGGACCTGCAGCGGTAGAATAATTTGCCCCTTTTCTTAATCTTATCCCCCTTATCTTCCATGTCTAGATGCCAACTTGAACTTGTTTCTTTTTAATTCTTGAACAGGTTGAAACAGTGTTTATCTGTTTTCTTTGAGCATTATGCTTCCCTTTCAGCTAATCACAAGGTATGCTAGATCCCAGATGTTATGCATTTTCTATGCACACATACATGGATAGAGTATGACTACTAAATTTTAGACTGCAGAAATATGCATGAGCTTTTTAGTTTCTCCATGACAATTTTCCTTTATCCTCTGATATGCAGAAATATCTCTCCAAGGCTTTCATTCCTGCCATGCGATTGATGTGGCCAGGCATAAATGGCAATGCTGGAGGTTCTTCTGTTGTGGTGTCTAATATGCGTAAGCGTGCAGTTCAAGCATCGAAATTCATGCTGCAAATGATGCAGGCTCCTCTCTATGGAAAAGAGACTACAAAGGAGGAAGAAAATGATAATGGAGGTTCCCCAGAAAATTTAGATCGTACTCCACAGCTTTCTGTAGAATGTGGTGAGGAGGGGCTTGCAATACGTATAGCTACTGAGGTACCTCTTCACTATGAAATTTTACTATTCTATGTTTTATGATTGACCATAAACCACCCCTAAATGATGTTTCAAAGCTGTGGATTCAATTGTATTTACTGTCTCCTGTGTGCTGGGCATTTATATCTCGAGGGTAATTAAATCTTCTAGAGGACAGTTTGATAATGTGCTGCTTATTTCTAGGTTATTAAGCTCTGATCATTGTGTTTTACTTTAGGTGCTTAGCTTCCAAGCAAAGAAGACACCTGCTGAGAAATCGTATGTATCAGCACTTTGTAGAATACTTGTCTCTCTGAATTTCCGTTTATCTGAACAAGAAGCGATAAAGTTATTGAAGAGGCTTCTCAATTGTCTGAGTGAATCTGTATTAGCTGAGAAAGATCTTACAAAGGAGTTAAAGCAGATGTCCGAACATCTCAAGGGACTAGATAGACATCCAGATCAGGATTTATCAGAAGATGAGGTGAAGTTCATCTTTGGTAAGTTTCTTAACTTAGGTGAATGATAAAATCTTTAATGGCATCGGTAACTAGACATCAAAAAAATTATTTAGATTTTTATGATAGCATTGATAAGTGACAGCTTTTATATATAATTTAGAGGCTGTCTGCTGTTTTGGCCGTAAAATTTAAACCTGTCTAGATTAGATATAAATGTCCAAGATTGGAGCGGTAATTGGCTAATTGCATTTGATGTCCTCAGTTTCACCAACTACCATGTTGCTGGTCCATAATCCATGATGGTTCTTCCAGAGGTTTGCTCCATTTTTTTTGGAGGTTTACATTTCTCTAATTTGTGCTCTCTCAATATTTCCAGGAAGGTTAGACCTTGAACCAAACTTAGATCTAAATGTTCCCGCTGCAGTGCCGCAAACCCCAGTCCCACATTCAACTCGACCAACTCGTTCGAGAAGACGAGAGAGACATGAAGATGTCTCTTCTGATGAAGAAAACTCTCCTACCTCTGCTCAATCCTTGGCTCGTACCAATCCAGCAAGTGTTGGGCCTCGTTCACAGAGGGCAAGCAAGACTGCTGCACTGACCAAGATAACAACTGCCCGTAAACCTGCAAGGATTGACGAAGACGATGAGGAAGAAGACTCGGAGTCCGATGTCACATCTGATGATTCCGATCAATTGTCTGAGTGACTGATTACTGGTTTTTCTCCCAAGAGAAAAAACACTACTTAATGCTCAAGCTGTTGTATTTTGTATGGTCATTGTTGGCTTGGCTGCATGCTTAGTAAAGATATTAGGGGTTTGTTTAGATAGGGAATCTTGTAATCCCCTGGATATAAGACATTCCAATTAAATAAATAGATGCATACAAAAATGTTATTGTTAACCGTTCTTGAACATTATTTCAATTTTGCTGTCTCTCCTTATCCAGCTGAAATTAGTAAATGCATATAGGAACTGCATTGTGCAAGATATCTGCTGCATGTGTGACCTAAACAATACAGCATTTTCTTATCACAAATCTACTTTATATAGGATAGTAATGGATCCATCTATGAAACATGGTAAAACATTCATCACGCTTGTACTCAGGAGGCGAATGACCAGCTCCCTACACAGCACATAAAAAAACAGTTTTAACTTTAACGTTGATGTTTTGCACGGTTCAACAAATGAAGAAATGGATTAAGTAAGATAAGAAAGATGTTCTTGCCTTAATAGTTGCATAGGTCAAGCGATATCCGCTGTTTGTATACTTCACAATGTACCTAGATGGATTTAATTGCATATAACCATGTTATTTCTTTACTAAGTTTAAAAACGATTGATTTGGATGAAAATTCAAACCTCAACAATGCTAAGCAGTTAATCTTGGATGTACATAAAAAGGATCCATAATGTGTTCAACTTCAAACAATGTTTACCAACTTACCCTGCAACTTGACCATTAACAAACCACGGTCGCCAATCTGTGTCAACTGTTAAATCCAAGTATCCTATCCATTCCTCAATGCCATTGTGAGGTATTACCATGTCATGATCACCACTACACAAAGAGAGATGTTGTTAGTATGCAAGGAGTTTAATGGATGCTAAGTGCTAGTCAGATATATAAGGAAAATTTTAGTTATTAAATGACTTAGCCAATCAGATTATACACGGCTTACATAATGCAAACCCTGCATTTTTCTGTATTTATCAGTACTTGAGAGTCTGAGACAAGATGCCTGCTACAGACATCTATATGAGGTATAACCGTTATCAAGCAGAAGAAGATTGATCTTTTTCTTCTCTAGCATACACTTAAATCCGAGATTCATATCATAACAGAAAAAACAACATAGTCCATAGCTGAATATTCACATAAAGGAAGGATAAATCACCTGAAAACCAGAAGTTGTAAACCCAATTCGGTTAGATTCTTGTGAATTGCGACGACAGAATTCACATTCACTGTGTAGGACAAGGAAATATTGCACCTAAAGAATTCAGTAACTGTTCCCTGTTTTGACAATAATGATAAAATGCTCCTTAGCAGCTTCCATGTAGTCCAATAACTTACATTCTTTTCTCTAGTGAAATAAATAAAACATTAACATCACTAATTACTCTTAACAATCACTCACCTCCCTAACGTGCAACGCTTCTTGGACACTTTTGTAATTTCCCCAAATATCAGAGAGCAAATAGTCAAAGTTCTGCCACCCAAAACCAAGAAGGATGAGAAAGTAGTTACTTCTAGTTCTTCTCGCCTTTGACATTAGCAAATAACTTGAGCATACAGATGGAGATAGCACTTACATGGCAATAAAGGTCATGAGTCGATAGGGATGAAAGGATGACGTTTCTGTTGTTTCCTCTAAGATATCTTCGAGCTTTTAGTTCTTTGGCATGGGGTGACAAAAATGCACAGTTTGGATCCAAAACGTTCTGATCACTTATTAATTCGATACACTGCATGACAGGGTAATTAATCACATTGCTGTTGATAACCATTGAGGATTGCTAAAAGCTGCTATGGTAAATAAAACTTGGAATTGCACATACCTCGTCTATAGCATCAACAGCCTCTACACATGCTGTGTTATTAGCATCAATATCTGTATATGTTCCATTGCAACTTTCTAAAGCTGACTGAAGAACAACCAAATAAAAATAATGAGGAACAAAATTAGTTTAAGTACAAACTAGTTGTGGGTTCAAAGAGAAGTGATTCTTTATTACCTCGTACATTTCATCTGAAATTAGTGCTAGACGATGAGCAAATGGTATTTTTGCATTTGCTTCAATAGTTGTATCTGTGTGTGGACATCCAAGTGATAATCCCTGGGATCATTTAAATGAAAATAAATAGATGAACTCATTTTGGGAAAAATAAAAAACAAAAAGATGCATTGAAACAAGTCCATGAAAGATCATTTACTTTGAGATTCACCAGCGGGTTGAGTCCAGCTGTGTTGCCTGCAAATTCATTACTACATTTAGAAAGTGTTCAACACTTGGCAAAATGTTATATGGAATTCAGTTATTAGTGTAATCACCTTTCATGATATCAACAGCAATCATTGGACCCTGTATTCCCGCATACGAGTCGGTGCCAATGAAGACTGGATTTGTCTGGTAATCTGGGTGCTTTTCCAACCACTGTGACTCAAAAAACAAAATCATTATATATAGTTATATAAAAAAAATCTAAATTGTTTCTTCAGGACATTCAAGCTTGTTTATGTGTAAGACGTATCTCACATTTCTGAGGAAATAATGGGCCTGTTGTGATGATTCAGTGTCTGTAGTGCTCCAAGCATCTGAAGACGTGGCATATGAGAAACCAGCGCCAACAGGAAAGTCCAGAAATATGATGTTAGCTGTCTGCAAACCATACATCAATGTAAAGAGACCGTCAAAACACTTGGCGAGTTAAAAGCACATGTAGGCCCTCTTTTGTGTCCAATTTTATACCTTAGACCATGCATTTGCTATGTACAACAATTGTGGTAAGCCCCCAGTGTAATCCGTGATGTTGAATTTTAATGGACCTGTATTAAAAACAAAGATTAACACAAGGGTTTGAAGCCTTTTTTAATTTTTGAATTCAAAAATTTTTATGATTATTTTATATAAAGGGGTTTTCTATTAGGGCATAGGATAAGAAACATTTATTAAGGAATCTGATACTAATTATAAAAATATCCTTAGGGGTTAAATCATTATAACTAATTAGGGGTTTTTTTGTTTATTTTTTGGTAAGACTAAAATGCCCTCATTTGTTTACATTGCAGACCCCTTTTTCCCAATCTTTTTGTCTCCATCTACCATTCTTCTCTCTTCAGTTCTCCAACACTCTATTTTTCATTTTTAATGTTAAATTTTATAGAGTTTTAATTTTTTTGAAGAATCATTGTAAATATCTTAGTGCAGAAAATGAAAATGGAACTAGTAAAATAATTTGCTAGAAGGATTATCTCCTATTGGGATCTCTTAGTGTAACATAGGGTTTTCAATTAGGTTAGACTGAGGAGTAGGAGAGAGAAAAAATTTAGAGAACTTCAAGAGAGAAGAAAATGGATGATGAAGACGGAAAGGCTGGAAAAAAGGAGCTACAGTGCAAACAAATGAGAGCATTTTAGTCTTATAAAAAAAAATAAAAAAACCCTAATTAATTATAATAACTTAATCCATAAAAATACCTTTATAATTTATAATTAGTGTGAGATCCTTAATAAATGCTTCCTACAGAAAATCCCTTATATAAATTAATGATGGTTAAATTCTCATTTTGGTCCCTCAACTATTGTACAAACCCTCAATTTAGTCTTTCAACTCAAAATATCTCTAATTTGATCCCTACTGTTACTATTTTAACCCCAATTTGATCTTTCCGTTAAAATCCAATGACATGTCCAATTAACTAACAACTACATGATAACATGCCAAATTTTTAATACACGTGGGAAGACAACATGACAAAAAATGATGACATAGAAAATATATATATAATAAAAAATATTAATATGATAAAAAAAGTTAAAAAATTTTTCCCTTTATTTTTTTCCTTCTCTTTCCCTTTCTCTTTCCCCTTTGAACCTAAGTGTGGGTTTTTTGGAACCCAGGTGTTGGGTTTCAAGTTCTAGGTGTGAGTTCTTTGGGACCCAAGTGCTAGATTTGATGGAACCTAGCACGCTTGTGTTCTTTTGAACTCAGGGGAAAAAAAAAAATTTCTCCTTTTTGTTATGGATTTTGTTGTTTGATGATGAAAAAGACAAGGCAAAAAAAGAGAAGGAAAAAGAAAGGGTGCTTGTTAGGTTCGATTGGATTCAAACACTGGGTTCCTTTGAACCCAACACACTTGGGTTCAATGGAAGAGCTTTGTTATTCTAGAGTTTGAATAAGAAGAAAGTGAGAGAAGGGTTTAGTTTTTGCAAGGGTGGACCACACTCTTTTTTATTGGTTTGGTTTTGAGTGAGAATAAAACATGTCATACTACCATATCATTTTTTTTTTTTAAGTGTACATTTGAGGTACCACATTATTTTGACATGTTATCATGCTCCCATTAGTTAATGGAACACATCATTACTGTGTTTTTAACGGAGAGACTAAGTTAGAGCCAAAATGATAAATAATAAGGATTAGATCAGGAGTTTCTTAATTGAGGAACTAAACCAGGATCCATATAATAGAATCATGAATTTTACTTGTCGCACACTTACATAGAAATAAGTAAATAACGTACCCTTAAAAGAAGAAGAAATAAGAGCACATACCAATCTGGAACAAGAAGCCATTCAAACCAGAACAGCCCGGGCCTCCATTGAGGTAAAGAAGAAGGGGATCAGCACCTGGGTTCGACTCTGACACAACAAAATAGTAGAAAAACTCCACATTACCCACACTTATGTACCTGCTCAGTACCCACAAAAAAGAGAAAAAAACCCATTGACACCATTAAGATTTGCTTTAAATACAGAACAAATTAACTAATAATTAGAATTGTTTTAGAGGATCCAAAAGCCGTACCCTGTTTCAAGTGTGAAGGGTAATTCGCCGGAGAAACCCGGAAGTGTCTTTACGATTGCAGAAAATGCAGGTTTCGAAAGAAGCAGTACGAGCAGCAAAGGCAAAAGCTTGCTGGAACTGGGAGCCATTTCTGCATTTGTCAACCTGCCTGGTGAGACTCATCTTCTGTAAATAATGGAGGAGTTTGAATGGGAGCTCAACCGTCGGTTTTATAAGAATGTTAATTACAAAGCGTGTTGAAAATGTTGGCACTCGGTTCTTCTTTTGAAAATTGGTTAAGTTAGGAACTGGATACGATTGCATTTTAATTTAAAATTGAGTATGTTTAACATGTGTACTAATGATATATATTAATGGTATATTAAATATATATATTTTTTGTAAATTTATATTAAAAAATAAAAATTGAGTTTTAATTTATTAATTATTTAATTAAATCCATCTTATATTAAAATTAATATCAATTTATATATATTTTTATATATATTTATTATAAAAAATATTCTTTAAGACATAAATTAAAAAAATCTTTTAAAATTAATTAAAAATAAATGAAATCGTGTTACTTGCATTCAAATAATATATATATTTTTATATATTTTTCTTATGAGATAGGTTTTATTCAAAGATTTAAAATGTGAAATCTCATAATTTTAAGTTGAGGCATTGTTTTTTTTTCAGGCAAGGGACTTTCTTGCTTTTTTTGAGTTGTATAGTACTATAGTTGTGGTTAATTGTTGTAATCTTGCTTCTACTCTACATTAAAAAAAAAAAAAAAACCTTAATATGGGGATGAATTTACTTTTAGTTCAATTTTAGACTACAATTGATATCCAAATCAAAATTACTTTTCTACTTTGTATTAGAAAATAGAAGTTATCCGAACCCTGAAGCATGACTCGTATGATTATTTGATAAATTTTTCACCCACATCATTAGAATTCAAGTCTTCTATATCCCCAATTCCTCTTGTAAAAAAAATAAAAAATAAAAAATAAAAGGGAAGAAGGAGAAAATAGAAGTCATCCGTACAAGGACAACATTGCGGAAGATTGGCCATTTAACCAAGGCAGGCTACTCAAGGCATGGCATATAAGCGGCCAAGGTTGGTTGAATATATTAATTTTGCAGTTGAAGAGGGATTGTAAACAGGAAAAAATATATTATACAGATGAAATTGTATTGTATTGAATTATATAATTATAATTATAAAATGAAGAAATTCACTTCTTGATATTCAGCTTCTTTCCTATTTAATGGCCCTTGCTTAATTAGCCCCAAATTAGGCATTTAGAAATCAGGTCATATCTTAGACAAAATATGATATATTAGTTCATGAGATCATAAAAGGAAATTATTTTTTTACAATTTTTTGTTTTATTTTTTTTTATAATTTGATGTATCATTAAAATAATTAATTTTTTAATTTATATAAAATTTATAATATTAAACATATTTATTTATTTAATAATATATAAAAATTACATAAAAAATTAATATAAAAAAAATTATTCTTACAACATTACTGCAAGAAAATTTAGATAGGATTGTGAGGCATAAAAATTTAGCTAAAACCCAACCTCCTATCATTGCTTTATCTTGCTTTACACCTGAATGCCTTTTTTTTTTTTTTTTAAATAATTAAAAATTAAAAATTAAATTAGTATATATTTTAGGATGTAATTTACTAACAACTCTGTTGTACCATACTGACTACCAATAAAGCACAGGAGAATCCTTTTTTTTTGGTGGAACACAGGAGAATCCTTTACACCTGAATGCCTGAAACAATTAATCTGTGCCCAACCAGTCCCGTCGACAAGGACAGGAGAAAGTTGGAAGGGGTTGGAACGTTAGGTAGATAGAGACGGACAAAATATGGAAAGGTACAAAGAACAATATTTTCCCATGTGAAACAAATAAATAATGTACCATTTCAACTTTTCAAGAACAAGCAGTAGACCTTGTAAAGGCGAATCATGCAAATAAATCCTCAAACTTAAGTACTGGTGGTATATTAACCCCTTAACCAAAATTAGACACATTCAACACCCTAAAGTCTTCAACGGTGGCAAAAAGGCCCTTATTGAACGGGCCACGTCATTAGGTCGTTTAAAGCTAACAGTGAAAGGCTTTGGTGGGATCCACAAGCATCGTTAGAAGCCATTTCTTTGATGAGCTGGCTATTTATTTGATGATAGGCAGTGAGTTAGAATTATGTGATTTAATTTAATTAAAATAATTAACAAAACTAAAAGATAGAACTCTGTCAAGTGTTCGATGACCGTACGTCTCATTGAGATAGGTGAGCTATTCATCAAATTCGAGGATCGAATTCTCAGTTGTTAACATCTAACAATACTAATCTATAAACGATTACACTTATTAAAAAAAAAAAGAAAAACTAAAAGACAAAAATATCTTTGTACTCTTTGTCCTCATCTTTCCATTTTTTCTTCTCTCTGCTTACTCTCCTCTCCCTCCTTCACCCTTCCTTCTTCCCCCTCACAAACTTGCCATAACAGTCTAGTTTGAATCAAAGTGTGGCTCATCGGAAAGTGAGCCAAGGTCTAAAACAGAATCTATAGGTCTCCGTGCAGCAAGCTTAGTTCGAAGAGGACCTTATGGCTGCCGAACAACAAGCTTTGGTCTATATTGGGTGGCAAAAGGGTTGAAAAATTCAACAAAACATAGTTTGTGTTCGGTGAATTCCCAACAAGTTGCTGTAGAGTTGAGGTTTCAATCCTTGTGGTTGCTTGATTTTGTCTATGATTCCTTTGTTATTTTTGTTGATTCACAGTTATGGTTGAAAGAGAAAATGTGTACTGTTAATGAAGATGGTTAGATAGTTTTTCCCCTTCTTTTTTGTTCTTTCCCTTCTTTCCTTTCTCTGTTATCCTTTTTCAATTTTGAATAATCGCCTTAGTGGGTTCTTC